GTGCACAGCAGCACTCACTTGATGTGTCATCTTGATAGTCTCACAATTCATCGACCACTTCTTGGTCACCAAGTGCTTTATGAACTTTGCATAACCCGGCATTTGCTCTAAAGGCTCAACCAATGGTACATTGATAGAAAAACTCTTCATCATGTCAATAAACTTTTTGAGTTGGCTCTCACTAATTTGCTTTGCAAGCCTTTGAGGGTATGGAGGAGGAGGCCTTGGCATTGGTACCTTAGCCTTTGGCACTACCAGTTCTGGCATGTTTATTACGTGTTCCTTAGACTGGTTCACTTCTTCTTGCGTCTCCTCCACATTTTCATCAATACCAATTCTCACTTCTTCATTAGTTTGAACCACATTGCTTGGACTTTCATCTTCTTGAACCACTACATCATCATCCATAACTCTTCTTTAATTTGAGGTGGTTGCATCTCCACCTTTACCACTTCTTGTAGTCACGGCAATAGCATGTCCCGTATTATTTCCACCCTTTGGGTTCACCACCGTATCACTTGGTAATGCCCCCTTAGGACGAGTGTTCAAGGCTTGCGAGATTTGGCCCAATTGAACTTCCAAATTGCGAATAAAAGTGTTGTGAGAGGCTAGTTGAGCATCAGAGTCGGCATTCTTCTCCATCATTTGTTTAACATGTTTTCAATTCTTCCCATCTCATTATTGGAAGAGCTCAGACCTTGAGAAGGATAAGGGAGCGGGTTGCTCGGTTGTTGAAACATCGGGGGCCTTTGAAAATCCAACCCCTGGTTGTTGTTATTGTTCCACCCTCCTTGGTTATACCTCCCCAATAGCCTTAATTATTTCCACTTCAATTGCCTTGGTTATTTTGTCCATTGCAATTTTCTCGATTGCCTTGATTGTTCCAATTCCCTTGGATGTTTTGATTGTTCCAACCACATTAATTGTTTGAGTGCCAATTTCCTTGATTTCCTTGTGGTCGCCATTGTTGTTGACTTGGGCCTCGATTGTTGTTTCTTTTCCCTTGGAAGTTGTTCACATATTGTACTTCCTCATCTTGCTCATTGTATTATCCATCTTGATCAAATCCACTATCATTTTGCTCATAATTTTTAACCCGGTTTTGCACTTGAGGACCTTTTTGTCTTCGCTTGTTTACCATCATACACACTCCTTCCATTGCATTTACTTTCTTAGGACCTTGCACCTGTTGAAGTTAAGCTTTGGCTATTCGATTCATTGTGGTGGTCAACTCGGCAATTGCTTGCCCATGATCATGTAATTCCTTGTGCAAGTGAATCACATTTGGATAGCCTTGAGAAACGTTTGCTCTACTTTGCCAAGCCGATGAAGTATCCGCCATCTCATCAAGAATCTCACAAGCTTCCGCATACAGCATTGTCATGAAATTTCCACCGGCAAGCTGGTTGACCACACATTGATTGGTAGTATTGATCCCCCTATAAAAAGTCTGTTGAATCATAGCCTCAGTCATGTCATTGTGCGGGCACTCTTTCACCATTGTTCGGTACCTTTCCTATATCTCATGCAAAGGCTCGTTAGGTTATTGTTTAAAAGCTAGAATCTCATCCCTCAGAGTTGCCATATGCCTGGGAGAAAAGAACTTGGCAATAAATTTCTCGGCCAATTCATCCCATGTATGGATAGAATGATTTGGCAACCTCTCCAACCAATCCAAGGCCTTCCCCCGTAGAGAGAAAGGGAATAGCCTCAACCACAAAGAATCCTCAGAGACGTTGGTTTGTTTGCTCCCCCAGCAAGTGTCAACAAACCCTTTCAAGTGCTTGTATGCATTTTGATTCAGAGCCCTGGTGAAGAATCCCCGTTTTTCCAACAGAGTAAGCATGACATTTGTGATTTGAAAGTTTCCCGCCCTAATGCGGGGTGGGATTATGGCAGTTGCGTATCCTTCATTCGGCAACACCCGGTATACCTCCGCTCTTGGAGGAGGTGGGGGTGGAGCGGGAACGTTGTCTTGAGGCGGGCGGCCTCGTCTATTTCCTTGAGGTTCAAGAGGAACCTCATTAACTTGGTCATCATCCCCGTCACCCCCCAATGGCACGTTTCCAAGAGGATCATTGTTGTTGAGAGCCATTGTATCACCTAGAATTGCTTTACAAAAAGATTAGTAACTCGAAGGAAAAGATGACAAATCACACACAAAACCAAATATATAGCTAAGTCCGTTTTTATCTCCCCGGCAATGGTGCCAAAACTTGATGTCGCCCAAACTCACACCAGTAATTGGGATTGTGAGGCGGTCGATGCAATTATAAATACCCAACACGAGTCGGGGTCGATTCCACAGAGTGCTTTATGTGGGATTAGGTATATACCAAGTCTAGTGTATAACGTGCCCAAGATTTCACTTCCACATGATTGGTTGTTTCTTTCTACTTCTAATGATTATGCTAATGCTTGTAATTAAAAAGCTAAGAGATAATGTTTTTGGTATTTTCATTCTTCAAGTTGATAAAAGATCTAGGGTTGTAACTTCCACCTAGATGGTTTCCTAATGGAATGAGAGCTTTACGGCAAGTTCGGTTGATCGGGATACAAAATAGCAATCACACGTGATTACTCACTCTATACCTCTCGGTAGTTTGAGTGATTTTGCCCAATTAGGTTTTCTCAAGTCCAAATGGGTATTTCACAAAACAAGTGATATATGCTCAAGTCGGGTCTTACTATCTCTAGATTCGACCCTTTAATTGGGCTATCAATTTCTTGAGTTCACCCCAATTTCTTGTTAGCCATGTTTTTCTAGACTTAGTATCTCTTTCTCAAGTAGAGACTGAGCAGATTAGGCATGAATTAATGTTTGCAACCATCAATTCTCAAATTCAAGAAAGAACTAGGCTAAATATCATATACCCAATTATAAACAAGCCCTAAATCAATCACCCATTATGTACCCATACTAGGGTTGGGTCATAACCCTAGCCATGGGTTTAGCTACTCATGGAAAATGCAAAAATTAAAGAAGAAACTAAGATAGAATCCATAATAGATGATTAAGGGAAGAAAATCTAATGTGAAATTGTTAAGCTAATACAAGGTTACCCAATACAATAAAGAAAAAACGGCTATCTATTCTCAGGTGCACAAAACTTAACCTAAAAATGGCAAAAAGATCTATTTATACCCAGCTAAAATTGTCGGACAAAATTGCCCCTACGGAGGTTATGCGGCCGGACAATTCTGTGTGCGGTCCGCACTTTGAAACTTGGATTGATAGGTTGGACTTCTGCGGCCGCACAATTCTGGGTTGCGGCCGCACTTCTTCAACTTTTGCAGACCGCACATTTCTGAGTGTGGCCGCACTATTGATTCTGCAGCCACACAATAATGGTGTGGTCCGCACTTCTTGACCTTGGGCTTTGGCAATGAGGGACTTTTGCGAACCGCGCATTTCTGAGTGCGGTCTGCACTTCTTCATGGCCCAAAAATCCATCTCTCTGAATCTCATCTTCTGCGGCCGCACAAGAATTGTACGGTCTGCATTTTGCATGGGAAAGCTGACAGATGCTGCCTTATGTTCTGCGGTCGCACTCAATATTGTGCGGTCCGCATTTTTGCCCTTTTAGCCTTGTTTTGGTCCTTGTCCAAAATTACTCCTTCTTGAGTTGATTTTCATCTCTTTAGCTCATCTTTCAACACTCCTGCAAGAAAGCACATTTTGTTAGTTTTTAGGAATACATTTAAGAAATTTTGAGCTAAAACGAAAGTAAAAGAGTGCAAATAAGTAGTCAAAATCCCTACTTATCACTAAGCCTCTTGAAGAATGCAGGAGATCCTCCAGACCAAGCAAGCCACCTGTGTGGCTGCAAGATTATGTCACCATCTCTAAAGGCTCAAAATGTACTTATCCCATCTCCTTCTATGTAGACTACTCTCACATCTCTCCAACTTTTAGACTCTCTCTCACAGCCTAGTCAGCTCTCTCAGAACCAACTACTTTCAAAGAGGCTGCTACTGATCCTAGATGGGTGAGCAGTTGGAGATTGAAGCACTGGAGGACAATCATACCTGGAGCATTGTAGATCTTCCATCTGGAAAGACACCTATTGGTTGTAGGTGGATTTACAAAATTAAGTATAAAGCATCTGGGGAGGTAGAAAGGTTTAAAGCTTGATTTGTTGCTAAGGGATACAGTCAAAAGGAAGGTTTGGACTATGGTGAAACCTTTTCTCCTGTGGCTAAGATAGTTACTGTCAGATCCATCATTGCATTGGCTGCCTCTAAGCAGTAGTTGATCTTTTAGATGGATGTTCATAATGATTTCCTTAATGGAAATCTCATTGAAGAGGTCTATATGCATATACCTGAGGGGTTTGCTAGACAGGGGAGACTCACAAGAAGGTCTGCAAACTCCAAAAGTCCCTTTATGGACTTAAATAGGCCCCAAGACAATGGAATATGAAGTTGACTGAAGCTTTACTTCATATGGGATTTCAGAAAAGTCATTATGATTATTCCTTGTTCACAAAGAAGGATGGGAGTGATATAGTAATCATACTGGTGAAAACTGAGTGATATAGTAATCATAATATGTGATAGCAAAGTAGCAATCCAAATAGCTGCCAGTCCAATATTTCATGAGAGAACAAAACATATTGGCATAGATTGTAATTTTGTGAGGGAAAAGCTAAGTGAAGGACTGCTGAAAACTGAGTGTATTAGTACAGAAGCTCAACTAGCAGACCTACTCTCAAAGGGTCTGGGAAAAGTTCAACATGAATACTTGCTGAACAAAATGGGATTGAAGAACTTATTTGAATCATCAATGATGGGTAGTGTTGGCTAGCAGCTAAGTGACAAGCTGATAGCTAACTTTAGTTAAGCTTAAGTGTAATATTAACTAGAGTTAGTTAGCTAGGAGTTAGTGAAAGCCGGTTAGTGTTAAAAGTCAGTTAGTTTGTTAAATACTGTAGAAGATTGTACAGAACTTAGTTTTTGAAAAATGAAGTGAGCTGGTCTCTTCTTCTCTCATTCTTCTTTCATTGTCTCCTTCTAGATTCTTCCTTCACGTTAGCTTTGATCACCATTTGCATGGCTGTTAACAGAACCAAATAAGACAATAGCCACATGCTCCAGAAATCAGCACAGGAGGCCTTTGGAAGAGGACCAAATTCGCATAGACGGTAACTTGTAAATGATGAAAGGACCCTCACAGATTCCTTCCAATGTAAGACGAATATAAAATTACAAAGACCAGTAAATTGAAGAGAAACTCGGTAGGGGCCTAACCATGCCTTACACGCCAAACCTCTACCTATATGCTAAACACTATCCCCACCATTTCAATTCATATGATGTAATTTGATTTGACACAAAATTTAAGCAAAAAAGAAGACTTTTGAAACATATGGTGCTAACGAACTTTGTGTGGGGGGAAATTTTCATTTCTCATCTCATGGAAAACCCTTTTCGCTTTGCTTAGCCTTATCCCCCTCTAGAGGTATTTTAGTGATATGTTCTATAGGAACTGGACGATCCTATTTGGTCAAATACGTAGCGACAAACTCCTATATTCCTTTCATTACGGTATTTCTGAACAAGTTCCTGGATAACAAGCCTAATGATTTTCTTCTTGATGAGATCGATATTGATGATAGTGACAATCTTGATGTTAGGGGCAAAATTTTAGTAGGCCATAGGAAAGTGTGTCATCGAAATTGAAACGGAGAAAATATTTGACAAGTCATTTCCAAACATTAAACCGTTCAACTCTATTTTAAAATTGATCATGATCCTAATTGTTTCTTTTCCTCTTATTCTTCTGCTAAGATGATAATTTTTACGAGTTGATTGCCTGAATGGTCAATCAACTTGTGGTAATTCATAAGAAATGAGTTCTAGCCTTTCTTTCTTTTTTTCCTCTTCTTATTTGGGTTTGGTTTTTTCGTGCATAGAAGTGCAAAAGCAAACAGCAAATTATGTAAGTGCGAAATAGACAAATCCAAAGAGATAATTAAGAAAAACTTAAGTGAGAATGAGACCTTAATTTGCAAATGAATTCAGTAAATGCCGGAGCACGCAGAGAGCTATTCCAAAGATCGGAGCTGCTGGGGTCGAGATGTACTTTTGTGCCGAGTTACTGAGGGGCAATTACAACAACAAGAAACAGCAGCGCAGGGGAGAAAGAGTTGAGAAGAAGATGGACAGGAGGGTCTTTTCTGTAATTTTAGTTTAGTTACATTTTTTTGTAAAATTTACACGTGAGTCGTGACACTCACCAATTTGTCCGTTTGACACATCAGGGCGATTCCAACTCAGTATAATCTGCCGAATTCTGGGTGCACGGGACAAACTTATGCTAAGAAGAGGTGCTTATCTGATCACTTAAACAATTAAGATGCTCATTTAATTGACTGCAGGTAATAACAAGTTTAAAGGGTTAAACTAGGAATGTTAAATGTGTGTGTTGGATCAAGTTTGGATAAGCTAGAACGAGTTAAATCAGTAAAGTTGTCACTTGAGAAACAGACCATAATCCAACAAACTACAGCTTGGACAGGTTGGGTTATTTAAAACTTTATGAATTAAAATTGGCTCTCCTAAGGTGTCAAATAGGTGATGGCATCTTTAAGCTGGTTAAAAAAATTAGTTGAATCAATAAATATTAAAGTCTAATCAAGATAATTTGAGCAGCAATGTGTCATAATTCAACCATCAACTCAAATTTCTGCAGCGAGTTAAGGAGTTTGCACTTTTATATGCCAAAATTTGACTCCCTCTTGAACTAAACTAAATGTTATTCACATACCCTTTATGTTTTTGCAAAAATATAGAGAAAACTAATGTTTTTTCCTTTTCTTTAATTGAACATTTAAAATGTGACTATGCATCATTGAAGTAGCTTGTATGATCATATTACAGAGCATATTAAACACTGTTCTTTCTGAATGTTACACAGGTATAACTCTTTTTTTTTCTTTTTTTTCACAAATAATTGAAATACTCTTTACACTATGAGTGTTAATAGACGAAGATGTGGTTGAGATTGTCTGAAGAAGAGCATCAGCCATCATCTGGCCTAAGAGGACTTGGGAAGAAGCAGTAAGGTGTAAATTGTCATTTTGCAACTGCAAACCCTTGGCATCAACTGTTACTACATTTGGAAGGTCAGGATTTAGCTGTGCTTCTCTCACTATCTCTGTGTAATGCTTTCCTCCTGAAGCTAGACCCACCTACACACATGTTTGAAAATTAAATGTGTTACCAAGTGAGGATAAAAATACAAGGAGCGCCGTGCCCGATGTGAATTCGAATTAGCCGGACCGATAAACTTACTGGTTAAATCGAAAAATAAGTGAGGATAAAATAAAAAATAAAAAGATTGCATTATGTACTCTCCTTCTCATGAATAACACTTTTGTTATGCGAATTTCTGTGATACACTTTACTTTTCGAGATAAAACTTTCTAACTTAGCTTTACCGAGAGTCGTTAAAGTTTATAACTAAAATTTGCATGCAATTAATCAAGAACTGTTGATTAAAGTTTACCTGGATAATCAAGAGGTCTGGTAATCCAAGATCACTTCTCAAATCAGTGAAAAATTGCTGCATTCTTCCTTTATAAGCAGTAGCATCACTCATTCTCATGGTATCACTCTCCCCTTGATACCACAGCATTGCTCTAATCTCTCCACTTTCTTCTTGCATTTTTGCAGCCGTGGCTCTCGTCACCAGCTGATTGTAAAGGAAAGCCCCCTTTTGCCATTCACTTATTTTCTTCCCTGCCAATGCACATGGGACCAACCCTACTGTCCCAAGACACGACGTCTTATTTAATAAAGAATTTGCAAAGGGCATACCTGCAGAGACGAATATATATAGGATTTATAGTAAGTAAGTTCAAAATGACTCTAATTTATCCATACATATACATAAGCGTAAAACATTTTTTGCGTATGCACTTATTAGAGGTGACAAAATCAACATAGTTTTTAGTGTATCTGTCTAACCTGTCCTAGTTTAAATGGATTTGATTATGCCTGTTTGTTAAGTTGACCCAATGGTTAACTCACAATGACGCATTAAACTATTGGTCAAAATGCCATGCAAATCCAATCACAAAAATTAAATTTAGAGATTGAGAGTTATGTAAATTTAGAAGAATTTTAGCTAATAATTTTTTTTCAAAGAAAGAAAAAATACATTAACATTCAATTTTTTTTCTTTCAAAAAATTAAAAATAAAGAATGGGGAAGGTTGGTTTAAGTTAGGGGTCGGGCTGTGCCCGTTATTTGACCCATTTTAATCCGAAGCAAACTTTGGGCATGTTAGGGTCATTGACCACATTTCACCTGCCAAAGTTTGACTCAGCTTAGGGGTGTGCATTCGAATCGGTTTATCGATAAATCGAATCGATTATTTGTTATCGAAATCGAAATCGAAAAAACCGAAACCTTATTGAAACGATAACGATAAGCATATGTACAAATCGATAATCGATAAGTAATTATCGATAAGGGTCAAAATCGAATCGATAAATCGAATGCACACCCCTAGACTGTAGACACTTTTTAAATGAGTAATTACCTATTTGTGTATATTAATATAACATACAGAATATATATATATATATATTCCGCTACTATTTTGAAAGTGGCTATATAATATTATTTTCCCTAATCTATACCATTTCCTTTACCCTAAGTCCCTTACCTTATTATTTCCTCTACCACATTTAAGGAATGAATCATATTTAAAGATCAAGGGAATGAAGTTCAAATTAATGAAAAACAGAATTAGCCGTGATGATGTGTTTTGTTTTGTTTTATTTTTTTTATACCATTGGAGTGTTGGTGGCATACATTTGATCCCTTACTTTAGTTTTGTTGCATGTGCTTGTTGACACAATTTTTATATTATAAATGGTGTTCGTCTTATTTTAGCTTCTTTTTGTCCATATTAGTTAGGCGCTTTTATAGCAATATACTTTCCGTGGAATCCCGCAAATTTTCTTATTGGTGTAATCGATAACCGAATCGATAAGCCCCCAAAATCGATAAATCGAAATCGAAAAAATCGAAACCTTATTGAAACGATAACGATAAGCATATGTACAAATCGATAATCAATAATTAATTATCGATAAGGGTCAAAATCGAATCGATAAATCGAATGCACACCCCTAGTAGGGTGTAGCGGGAGTACAACCAACTCAATAAGTAACAAGTCCAACCTTTGGACTGAAAGAACTGACAAGTTCGGATAATATGGTCCAAATACATAATTAAACAGTACGGAAATTTATAGAACATTTGACAATAATATCTCAGAGGAACTCATAATTTGCAGGTACCAGTACTGGAAATGTAGACATGCTTCCAGGTTTAACAGTTAAACTCAAAATAGATAAAATATGTCAAGTTTGAATAATATGAGATATATGACATCTCTACATCTACATGTCAATATGCATATCGTATGTGATGCAATATATTGGAAGCCTCACGTACTCACACTCTCAGAGTACTCAACCTGACTGCCTTAATTCTCACTCATCACACAAAAATCACTAAGCACTGTACAGGGCAGATCCAGCCCAAATGCTAACAAATCCTGATGCAGCGCGCAACCCGATCCCATCGTGAATCAATAGCAACTACGCTCGCTGTGGGTGTGCAGACTCCAGAGGAGAAGATCCAGCATAAGCGTTATAGAAAGCCAATCATGGCATAAGTGAATAAAGCCTATTGCGGCGTGCAGCCCGATCCCATAAATATCACTCACAACCAGGCCCTTGGCCTCACTCAGTCATCAATCTCTCCAGTATCTCGGGCTAACAACCCTCATGTTAAGTAGCCCAAATCAATGATACATGTTGTGACAATGTATGAAAACAGAGATAGAGATATGATATGCAATGATGAATGCGACTGAGTACATAACTGCAATTAAGCAAAGGATGACCACCATGGGTCCCAATAGTACCAGCATATAGCCTAAACATGATTTTCTAACACAAATCACAGCTCAAGTGCCCTAACACATAGAGTACAATAATAATATTCAGATAAGATAGATACACAGTTCCAAGGAATCGACTGAATTACAATTACTACTGTGCACGCCCACACGCCCGTCACCTAGCATGCGCGTCACCTCAACACCAATCACATAGCACCTAATTTCAGGGGTTCATACCCTCAGAACCAAGTTTAGAAGTGTTACTTACCTCAAATCGTGCAAATGTCTACTCCAACAAGCCCTTGCCTTGGGAATCGCCCTCCGAATGCCTCGAATCTAGCCACAAATAATTTGATACGATTATCTCAAGCTATAGCAATCAATTCCATATATAAATGCTAAGTTCTTAATCAAAAGTCAAAAAGTCAACTCAAAAGTCAACCCCCGGGCCCACGCCTCAGAATTCGTTGAAAGTTCAAAAATCCGAACACCCATTCAACCAAGAGCCTAACCATACAAAAATTACTCAACCTAAGCTTCAAATCTTAAGTACCTAAGCTTCAAATCTTGAGACTTAGTGTCTCAACTCATTCCAGAATATCCCCGGAATTGAACCAACTACTTAGGTATGTCACATAACAACAATTGAGCATAAAATAAGAAATAAATGGGGGAACGGGGATACGACACTCAAAACGATTGGCCGGATCGTTACAAGTTTATACTGGATGGGATGAGGTTATTTGACATGGAATGAGTGTTATCGGACATGATTAAGGTATGTTGGAAGGATAATGTCACTAGCTGGCTAAGATATTTGGCTATGGTTCTTGTCGAGCAAGAGAAATCCATAACTTGTTGATCTGATGAGTGGTTATGAGGTTATGCATGTTTCCTCTATCATTGGCAGTGTATAAAGGTTTAGAATAAGGTTTTATTTGATATGAGGTTTGTTACTAGTGTCGCATTGGTTATCGAGCAACTATTGCGGTCGGAAGTTATTGGAATAAGTATTTGTTGCGCCCCAATCTTGGGTAGCACGACCGGCGCTTGACCGGGAAATCCTAGAAAAAGCAAGCCTACCTGATGACTTCTACCCAACCTTACCCATGAATCAGTTTAAAAACAAGTAACAAGAATTAGACATGAGAAAAATAAAGAGTACCACGTCCTTTTTCCATTTCTTATAGAAGCTTCATTTACAATTTCCAAAATTATACAAGTTCATAGTTATGAGGGAAAATATGTTTGACAAATACAAACATTTCTATTTCATTGCCCCAAATCGAACACCACCCATAATATATCTACAGACCCTCTAAGTGTGATAGAATAGTAGTATGGAAGCTTCGGTAACAAGGCGTCGACTATACCTTAGAACACAATGTACAATACCACGTCACCTAAGGCCCGGATCAGAATAGGGCTCATCAAACCTGCTGAGCAGAGTGTAACTGCTAACGAGGATCAAAGCCACATGCTGAGAAATTACCTACATCCATAAAAGATGCAGAGCCCCCAGCAAAAGGGGCGTTAATATATATGGAAAAGTACTAGCATGTAGAGCAGACAAAACATCATATAAAAGGCAAGGTATATCAGAGAGAGGTAAATGATACACATCCAAAAACAATGAATCAAACCATATGATCATAAGCAAGTGAGCCACATGAGCTATGGTATGGGACAACCAGTATAATATAAATGGACACTATGTACCAATTGAGGACATTGAAATTGGCACCTATTATTCGTGCTGGCTATGCGTCTCACCAGTCCGTCCATAGCCCACTCTTACTATGCACCTACGCGTTTCACAGATCGTCCATAGGGCTCACCTAATCCTTGGGCTTACTATGCACCTCACTAGTCCGTCCATAGTCATCTATACTATGCACTTATTCGTTTCAAAGACCGTCCATAGGGTTCATCTATACCATACACCTATGCATTTCAAACACCGTTCATATGGTTCATAACACATCATTATGAACATGACCATATATAAACTAAAAGAGACATGATTAACATTACATTTAAGGTTATAAGTTCTTGGATCATTAGAATACTTCATGTTCATGCTCATCATGGAGAAACAACTTATTATATTAGGAAATGGACAAAAGTCCTTTTCCATAAGGTTCATCATAATTTAGCATAGGACATCTTTTTTTTCATCTCGTTATGTGCTCACTTGTCATCTTAAGGTCATTAGCTAAGTTCATGATTCTTGGGACATAATGTCAAAGTTGATTGCATTCTTAATTTAGAAGCATACACACCGTGATTCGTACCATTAGAACATACAAGGCCTCGTAATTCTCATTTGGGCAAGTGGCCATGTTTCTTGGTCATACTATCACTTCCCTTATACTTTCCATGGAGAATCATAGAACATTTAAAACATTTAGGAACACCATAGCTTTACTCATGAGAGCGTAAGAGCTTATAACACATTGAAAACATTAACAAGGAAACTATACCCATTTCATTTGAAACCTAAATTAAAATCATAGGCATTCATTAAATCAACCTCGTTTGAAGTACGGAGATAATAAGGATGAGGCAAGTTAACATGATAAGAATTGGTATTTTGGGCAACCGTACTTGGAGTTCACAGTGAGATCATAGAATCCGATTCTACGGAGGGAGTTTAGCCAACATACCTTGCTTGAGCTTCCTTTCGATTACCACAATGTCCCAATACTTCTAGAACATCCAATAAACTAAATATATGACAAAATTGAGCCATAATTAGGAAACAATTCATGGTTTCTGCTCATTAAGGCATTTTATCAAGCACGAGGTGTGCAGTTTGACTACAAGGTTTCTATGGTGGAATCCCTTCATCCCTCAACGAACCGTTAACCCATTTTAGTTCAATAACCTTTCCACCACCCTTGTTGGTACATGCATGCACAAGGAACAATTCCCACACCCAAGAACCATACTTCTCAATACCAAATACTGAAATTTAGGAGTAGGGAGTAGAACCTTACCTTTTAGATGAACACTTGTGAGTTGCTCCCTTGAATTCCCAAAGCTTGAGCAAGAATTTGAAGCATGGAGATGTTAGTGCCCTTCCTTCTCTCTCTAGCTCCCTTCTCTCTCTCTAAAATACCAGATTTTTGCTCCCAAATGACCCTAATGTCTTTTTGTTACAATGAGGTCAGGTTATAAAAACACAAAACCAAACTCAGATATGTGGTTGTAGAGTGCACAATAGAACAGGTATGCGGTTCGCATAAGGGACCGCAAAATCATCCTCCAAAACTGGATTGGTCGAGTCAGGCCTGCGGTCCCCAGACCAATTATGCGGGCCTCGAAATGGACCGCAGAATCACCCCTCTGGAATTTAACATTTTGGATTTGTGATGGATGTGCGGCCCACGAAATGATTATGCGGTCGCATAATGGACCGCAAAGTGAGCACCAAAAGTTGGATTTCTTTTTTGTTTCATTCTACGGTCGATCTGCGGTTCGCAAAGTGGTTCTGCGGTAGCATAGTGGACCGCGTAGATACCATGCCCTGCAAAAATTATTCTTCCAACTCCCTAACGCATTGCACAACCCACAAAGTCTGCACCGCGTCTAACACATTAGCCTAGCTCGGCATCACAAAAGCATAAGAGCTCAAACGCAGGCTTATATTAAAAGGTCGTGCCGACCAAAGCGCGTAAGAGCCTACGAGCCAGCCTATTGAGCCCCAGGGCCATACTATGGATCTAAGGATCCCTTTCAAACCAAAGACCAATTCATCCAGCTAACAGCCAACAAATATCAAGGCTAAAGAAATGCGTGAAAGACAAAAATACGAGGCTTCATTTTATACATGTACGCGAGGGAATACCAGATCCATTTACAAAAGTTCTCCGAGAACACTACATACAAAATCAGAAAGGGAAAGGCCTAATCTACGCCCCCTCCTCGAGGACTACGACCCGTTGGCCTGTTTCTCGTCATCCTCGGCATCGGACAGAAGGGACTTAGCACCATGTTCGCTCGCCTTTGCCTGCTTCACCTCTTCCGAGAGGTCAAAACTCCTAACACTGATCTCCTCGAGGGTTTCCCTTCGAGATTTGCATCGGGTATACTCCAAGTTCCTGCTCTCATGATCGAGAACCCTTCTCAACTCAGCTCGAGCATCGACAACGTCCTTCAAATAGACCGCCACTTTCTTATCGGCCTTAGTATGGCTCATTACGGCTTCGGCCCAGGCATCCAAAACTTCAGCTTTTACCTTCAAAAGTTCAGACTCAAGCTGCGTAATCATATCTGTTTGGACCAAACCGTTCTCGCGAGCTAAGCGGAGTCGAACCTCGAGGGTGGAAGCTTTAGCCAGAGCGCCTTTTTCTGCTACAGTATGAGCATCTGTCCGAGCCTTTAACTCATCGTATTCACGTTTGTCTTGACCAACTTCACTCCTAAGGCGTTCCAGGTCTCTAGTCTTCTTCTGTAGCTAAAATACACGAAACGTCAGCCTCAACAATAGAAAAGGGAAGATGCGCCCCATCTAGAGCAATAAGTACCTATTCCTCGAGGTATGCTTCGTAGTTCAGGCTTCGACTCGCCTCGCACCGCAAGTGCGCCAAATCATCTTCTCTCTCATCGCAAAGAAGCCTAAAGGACTTCTCCCCTTCCACGGCTTTTCGCAGCATGGCCTCACGACGAAGCAGCTC